TATAAAAAAAGGGCTAGAATAGGGCATTTGTCTGTATAGCTAATACCCATTACAGTCAGAAACCAAAACAAACAAAACCTCAGTAGAATCCATGTCATATCGATAAGATTTAGAATAAGTGGCACAGGTGCAGATCAACTTCTCAAAGAGTTCAAATGCAAAATACCTCCTCCAAATATCAGTCAACCAATATTTCAGTCTATTTACAAGTTTGGTCACTAGGCCATTTCAGTATTATGATTCTCCAAGAATGTAAAAAATTTTGTCTAAAACAAGAGCTAACTGATGTTTTCCAATGAAATTTTCACATGCATAAATCTATCACATACCATCAAGAGATGTAACATTAAACAGAAAATACGAGAACTAGGTATGTAAATATATGTAAATATCTTGACCTGCTGAAAAACCCTAGTAGATTCAGACAGAGAAAAAAATAAATCTAAAAATAGCTGCAACTTACATGAAGAATAGCAACAATAAAAATAAGCCCTGAAGAAATATGCTGTATGTACAACAGCTACTCGTTGGCACTTTCTTGACTGCAAGAGACTGCAAATCACAGTTATCATCAAGTTATCTAACTACACTTTCCAATCTCCATGGCATATACTTTGCCCAGTTACTCATCATAAACGAGAATAGCTAGGGCAAATTCTTTATGACTAATTTTAACAATTTTTCCATCATTGAAGTAGTAAAGGACAAAGAGAAGATGAAAAGAAACACAACACATCCTAATTGTGACTGTAATGTCAAACTGTATTGATTATCATATAATGAGGGCAGAGGGAATAAGAGACCTAAAGAAGCTAAAGTTACTCTTGGTAGTCTGCCCTATCATAAAAAGAGGCTGGATTCTCTACAGTTTAGCACTTAAGCTCATCCTAAATTATTTGAGACAAATTTCTCATTGGAAATGCCTATCCTTCACTCTCTGTGAAATACTGAAAAGTCGCTAGCTTTAACTCAGAAAAAAAAATGATACTTTGAAATCCACCGGTAGCTAAACCCAGATAGTAGGATATTGATTTTCTTATTTGTATGCTGGCACCCAGACCCAGTGAAAGCACTGAGATAAAACTGCTCTTACATATGCAGAAAAAAAGGGAGCTTTCTAAAGGTATGTCTTATCAGAGTAAAGCTAAAAAAACCTTGAAAAGCTAGAGGAAATCTTTATCTGTCAGATGACATGTAAAAGCAATCCCTGTCCCAGCTTTCTCTGTAGTGTCAGGGCAGGTCATTACATTCAGTCTCACTTTTCAATCCAGCAACTGGCAGCTGTTGGACTTGCAGAAACCTGGCATCACCCTTCCAGTCTCCTGAAAAGTCTCTTTATACCTGTAACCTTTGAGACTTGATCACTGGAGTCTCTCAGCTCCAGACTCTCCTCCAAATTGACCATATTCAGATGCCATTTCCCCCTCAAAGGTTCCTCCTGACCCAAAATGCAGCTCTTGAGACATTGCCTTACAGAGGAAACTTTTCTTTTCTGATGTTCAGCTATGAAATTAATAAAATATTACACCTGTGTAAATTAAATCATTCTACTATTTTTCAATATATGCTATGAGGGGAAAAGCCAGAAAACTCACGAATTCTTCTGGTCAGAGCTAAAAAAAAAGAAAAAATAGCATTTCTTAAATCAAATTTGGAAAAGGCTCAAACTTGGTTACAAGTAAATCTGGGACAATTCATCAACAGACTTCGTTTTCCTAAATTAATCATAGCTGCACATAAAAGCAAACTTTGCAACCCTTGACACCATAAACTAGTAGAAAAGGCAAGACTTGTGTAAGGGTACAAGTAGAGACCCAATAAACTTCCAGTGCCACTGTCAGCATGCCTCTAAATCTCCAAGTGTTTTCTTGGGAAGAAGCAAACCCACCAGGAGCATGCCTCTTAGGTAACCGTTCTGTTCTCTGCTCACTGCTGCCCTGTAATTACTTGGAGCATAACTTCATATTAAAAAAAAAGAAAAAAAGTTTGAAGGGTGGAAATTATTTCTAAAACGTTTGTTAAAACATGATGCCAGGATTTTTTTTAAAATATGTACATTCACAACTAATTATCCTTTCTTATTTTTACAACGGTTTTCAACTTGATGTAGATATTTTCATCCTTATTTATAATGCTCTAACTCAATAGCTGCCTTTACGCTACAGGTTAAGCTCAAAAAAAGCTAATATTTTAAAAAATTATTCCAAAATAACAAGGTATCACTGCATTAGGAATAATTCCTAAACCATGTGGCACAGACAGCTTATCAGTTTTAAGAGATACAACTGGCTGCTCCCAGTTAAAGCCTAGGGAGTAAGACTTACAGGGGAACTGTACACTTCCAGTGTGGTGTGGCTGGTTTCACATTAAAGAATCATTGCTTTATTTGTAATACTTAGTCCTTTAAGTCAAATCACTGAAAAATTTTCAATCTTCTTTTCTTTAGATTCTTGTAGCTTGTGCAGGAAAGAGTTTATGAGACCATGACAGGAAGTTACACTAAAAAATTTGGGAAAAGAGCAAGATGCAAAGAGGAGATGAGAAGGAATCTATAAACAAGATTTGGAATCATTATTGGAAATAAAATGGAGACTAGCATAAAGAAGAGGAAAGAACTGAGCAGCAAAAATTAGTATAAATAGGGTGGTGGTACAAAGGATAAGAAGTGAAAACAAACAAAGTAATATGAAAACTAATGGGAAAGAGCATCTTAATGTGGTACCACTCGGTTGTCCAATAAAACACTGCAGCATTTGTCCAAATACAACAATAAATTGACACTTGCAAATTAAAGTGCACAGCACAGGCTGCAATAGATCAAACTGAAAGGGTTCTTGGAAAAGGACAGTGAATGAAAACCTGAGAGACCTGTATTAAATTACAGGTTTGGCCATTATCTTCCTATGAGATATGAAAAATGGGAATATAATGCCTCCTACCTTGTTGTGACGATAAAACTCATTAATTACCATGAAGTGCTCCCACATTACAGACAGCATTGGGGAGGGGAAATAAGTAGAATCTAATTGCTGTTGTAGGATAAAGAGTACAAAAGGTCTATTACTGATTGATGGACTATGGGGTTACAAATTGATCATTTTATCTGAGACTGAGAAATCCAAAGGCCAAAGAATGATTGACCTTCACATTCTTGTTTGTTTTTTAAGTCCAAGAAAACACAGTGATTAGATTCAAAAAGGCCCACCAAGACAGTAGAAGAAAAATGAGAGAAAAATCTCCTGAGTGTGGTATGTAAACAGGAAGAAGGAAAGCAAACTGTACTGCAGCATATACAGAAAAATACACAGAATTTAAGTTTAAGAGAATTGCTCTTCTGATGAAGTTGTAATTCTAAAAGGATGAGTGGAGACAAATTAAAACTGGCGGGGAGGACCGGTGAGATTAATTTCTTCTCCATCCAAAAGTTAAGATTTAAGAGTCTGTAATAGAAACTGGTCAACAGAGAGAAATACACATCTAGATTCAGCTGACCTTAGACATCTGTCTCAGAACAAACTGAACAGCTCTCTAGAGGTACCCACAGGGACTAGCTTAGATGTCTAATCTAAAAAAAAATTAAATTTCTGCTGCTAATTATTCTTAATTGTACTGAAAAAGGAATATAATATCATTTCCCATAAATAAATGAAGGCTCGCTGCATGGACAAGGAAAAAATATGGACTTAGAGGCAGAAAAGAACGGATGGCAAAAGCAGTTTTACTGACCAGTGCTTCAGAGATGATTCTCTTAAAATCTCTTGATTTAAAAAAAAAAAAAGAAAAAGAAAAAAAAAGAAAAAAAAGAAAGGCTGTCTCGAGCATTTTTTTCAGGCAGGAACAGGGGAGAAGAGTCTGTAGTGTTTGCATACATATTTGAGACCTGGATGAACCCAATATTTAAGCATTGTAATTCTGCTTCCAGAAGTGATCAGCACCTGCCATTCTAGTGACTTTAATGAGAACAGACTAATATCTTTCAAATTTAGGTTAGTTTTTATGAAGTTTACCTAAAACATGCACATTTTAAAACTCAGGACAGTCTGGTTTGTTGTATTTGGATACAAGTACTCATAACTCTATATAAGCATATATAGTAGTTCTGCTTGACATGATCTATGTATCTTCTTTAATTGCCTTACAGCAGAGGCATCAATTATAATAGTGATGCCATCAATCTCTAAAGAATACTTGATTAAAAAGTGCAAATGAAGCATGCTGGCAATTCTGATTAATACATTTAAAATATTTTTTCTACGGTTTTATAAATTAAACCTATAATGAAGACAAGCAGTTGTATTATCTCAAGTGAAGGTGAGGATAACTTGTATTCTCCCCAGAAGACATAAAGATTTTTAACAGTTAATGGCAGATAGGAGACTTCAAACCTCTTAAAGGAAGAGTTTTAGTAAACCAGAAATTGAAGTATCATACATTTAGTTTAAATCTTGTGACTGGATTTTCAATTTCCCCAAAGCTTGCTACAGTCAAATAAGCAACCACAAAGTGCATGAAAATAATTTTTCAGTAGCATTTTACATCTGCCTTCTCCTCATGTAAAAAATTTCTTACAAAGAATACAGAACACCATAACATGAGCTTGGAAAATAAGGCCAGAAAATGGCTCCTTCAGAGTAAATTATTTACATTTATCATTTTGATTCTCCAGACCTGTAATTATGGTTTTATTACATTTCAAAAAGTGAATGATACTGCTGTATGCATCTTTATTCTCTCAGCACATACTCTGACTGATCAGTAACCCAAGCTACATGAAAGGAGACAGACATTGAGAATTAGAACATAAAATATTATCTGGCTCTTGAGGAGAATTTGGAGACATTTTTAAGTTTCTTGCTTTCTTGCTTCTGCAAAATATTTAAATGCTAGTCTTAGAGTTTCATTAATATTTTCAATCCCTTAATTTTCAAGGATTACAAGTTAATTTACAAGTAAATCTAGGATTTAAAAAAGGAAATGAAATTAAATGAAACATTACTTACATCATTCTGATCATCTTTTGCATTGTAATAGATTATATCATTATTCTGTAAGAGAAAGAAAAGTAATTCTGTTAGTTTGAAAGGCGAGAATAAATTTAAGTAACAATACTCTGTACTATTGTAAAATACATTTTGAAATAAAAAACACAGTTCTTTATGTATTCTCTTTGAAACAAGACAGACTCAGATCTTTGCTTGCTCTCTGTTGTGTGTTGTATTTGTCATGCTCGTGCTTATGTTCATACATTTAATGCTTCTCCCTTGGGAAGCTACATAAGTCACCCAAAACACAGCTAGAAAAGTACAGATAACATTGGACAAACTCGAGAGCTCATAAAAGCCTTCCATAAGTTGTTTCTGTTACAGACATGTGACTTCCCCCGTGCAATTAGGTGATTTATGCACCATGACATCCAGCAGACAACAGATACAGCGTTGCTAAGTGGGTTAAGTATTTGTTGCACACACGTTTATTCTTCTATTCACCTCCCACGGCGAAAATACAATCTGCGAAAATACATCACAGCAGTCTGGCTGTGGTAGTGGAGAGCAGATCCTGGCAGCTCTGTAGAAACACTGTACCATGTAATTCAAGTAAAGCAAAGAAGGAGAAGATTGCTAGTTTCCATTACAGAATCAGTGAGAAGCTTCATTCAGCAGTCTGAAAACTGGGCTATTTCCTATGGAATACAGTTTTGTTTTCTCTTGAAATATTTCTGAGCCATTTAACAGCCTCAAAGACTTAGGTTCGCTGTAGTAGCTTTCCACCAAATAGAATTGCTGCAATGTGCCCAACAGCTTTTCATCAAAATCAAGCAATTGTTACGTGCATTTCTCTATTAAATAGTATGGACATAGTATTTTTAAGTCCCTTCACAGATTTTGAATAAATAAAGGAGAAATTACATTTCTTCATGTCCAGCAGCGTGTTTAAAATATTACTTGCACTAAAAAAGTGCCATGACATGTACTACAAGGTAAAGCACTTCACCTTTATAAACCATCGTTTTCCTCACTCCATAAATAATGACATCATTTATTCTTCTTTGTGACCTTTTAGAGAGTCAGACATGAAATATATTACAGATGAGCTAAATGCCATTTGAGGTAAATGCTATTAACATGAACTCATGCTTTTTGCTTTTCCCTCAAAATGCATTTTTCCATCAAGATGCTGTTCTATCCACAGGTCAGTTGGTTTTGTATCGGTATCTGGATAATCAAGCCAGATACAAGGGTGTGGTAGACACAGGAGGAAACTCCTTTAATCATTAAAGACTGATGATGACTGATAAGCTAATTGTTTATTCACTGGATTGTTATAAAGAAACGACCATATAATGCTGTAGAAGCCTCAGAGTGCGTTGGAAGAGGCAAAAGATTCTATTTTCTTTGGTTCCTCTTACTTTTTACATGGCTGTAAATAGTTTGGTCTCTTCAAAACCCCATCTGATTCTTTAGCAGGCAAAGGATCCAACTCTGATTGGTACTAGCCAGAAACGTTAACACAAGTGCTTTCATCACAAAGTGATCTGCTCAGTTGAAAAAAAAAAAAAAAAATGTTTCACTTCAGAAGATAGGGAAAAGAAACTCTTTACATTAGGTTGTGTTAGAGCAGTTCCCCTGTAATCCTTCCCTGGAAGGTTTTGTTCAGGAAAAATGAGCTGCAGGAAAAGCAATATGGACATACCTCTCTGGATATTATGTATATATTGGATTTGTTTACTGCTTTCATTCTTAAAAGGAACATTTTCATAAAAAACAATGCTATTAGGCCCTCTCCTGCATTGACTCTCATCTAGATATCAGTTTATTTCCTCAGCCCCTCCCCATTGCTCATGTTTACCCTAGCAGTACACCCTGTTGTAGAATCATTATTACACAGGATTTTTAACACTGTCCTCAACAGATACAATTGTGTTTATCTACTTAAACAAAATGATTCTTTATTGTCAGAATTATATTTCCTCATCTTTTATATTTCTATCTATTTGTTTAAATTGCTCGAAGCTGGCATAGCTTTACTATGTACTTCTACTGGACTGAACAGTATTTTTAAAATCACCTATTAAAGAATTATGTTTCAGAAACATAATATGTTTACAAATTAATTAAAATAAACATCTCCCCATATCAAATGAATTAGGTATTTTGTTAGGCTATTCATACCCTGTACTTCATTACCCTGCCTGGATATATTACCTATATAATGCATAAACTAACACTGACATCAGACATATCTTACTACTCTTAATACAGAAAATATGAGATACCCAGTGCTACAACACAATAAATGCTGTACAGTTCACAAATTAGATTCATGGATCAGTCAGATCTTTAGAGGACAATTTTTCATAATTTAACTACTTCTAGCTGACAAGAACAAATTGCTTTGTTGCTGGTACTCATGTGAGTAGTTTACTTATTTATTAACTTCTTGACACAAAGAATTTGAATTTTCCTACTGTTGTACACTCTTTACACCACGTAATACAACACACTTGGTCAGCAAGCCTAAGGTGCAATATAAATATCAGAGATACTTATTTTTGTTTTATCCAGTAATGCTATGAGAGAGAGGGGGTAAATATTCTCTATTGCTTCTGTTAATGAATGAAGGGATTTAATAAGACAGTCCTGAAGCTGAATTTATGAAAGAGAGACTTTAGGAGATCATATGAATAAATTAGAAACTTTAGCATAGTATCAGTATATGAGTTTACAAAACCTATGCAATTGGAAAGGTGAAGGGTAGTTTTCACTGTCTTTAATTCCCCTTTCAAAGCAAACAGTTTCAGTATCTGACAAGGGTATTAGGCAAGGCATATAAAAATTACATTAAGGACCAGGTCATAAATGTTTTATTTGTGACTCTTACTATTTTCTTTTCTATCCTAATAATTTTCTTCCACATTTCCATTTTAAGTATTATCTGCTGAAGTGAGATTGTTCCACCGTCTTTTTATTGCTTTTCATTTCAATAGTTGTTTGTTTTCCAGCTTGGGGTATAAAACAATTCAAGTGGGAAACACTACATATTGGCTACTATTAATAAATTCTTGAATTTCACCGCATAAAATACAAAGTTTCTGGTCTCTATAGCGTCTATGTCTAGAGGTTTGAAGAAACACACATCTGCAAATGAAATTTGAACTCACTCCAACACTAACTTACACTCAGGTTTTGATTCTCTACTGAGCAACTTTACAGACACAGTCTATTGATTTAACAAATAAATACCTAAATTCAACTCAGGATTATGTGAATGGAACTGAAGTTGGCTTGTCATCACAGGAAATAAAACTTTTTTACAATCACACTCTTTCAAGAACAATAAAAAGGGATTATACCACAACAAGACATATCTGACACTACAGATAATAATGTATAGTAAATTGTAATAATATATCTATGCCACTTTGTTATCAAAAGCTATACATCCTCCTTTACCAAGTGCCAAAAAGAAAGCTCCTTGTCATTGCTGCCGCATTATGGTGTCTGTAGGAAAACCCCCTCTCTAAATGTTATGCTAGAATTCCAAGAATTTTCCACATAATATGAGCCCCACCAACTAGTCTGATGTCTCTTTTTTTGGTAGGAAGATTGTATATTTGATTTTTTGAAATATCTGCTTTCCCACAAGAGATGTTTGCATTTCATTCGGGAAAGAAAAAAAAAATACTCTAAGCCTTAAGATTTTCTACAAACACCCTATGTGGTCAGTTCAGAACTGTTGCTTTCACTGAATCTGTGGTTAAGATTACATATGCCCTCAGGTCTGTCCATGGGCTCCCTAGGGATTTTATGCAACTCTGTGCCCGTGATGGAGCCCAAAATGGTGTTAGGCCTACAGGGGAGATTGAAAGGCCTGAAATGAATACTAGAACTTTATGAGACACTCTAATGAACTACCAGAAAATAAATTATTAAAAAAAAAAAAGGAAGATTAAGAAACTGTTTTTCTGCAGCTTTTCATACATTAAGAAATTAACGTAATGTATTAATTCAGATCGACATCACAATTATCCTTTTTCCCCTAAAGTTGCAGTTCAAAAACAATTGTAGGTAAAATGTGGAAGCAAAAAAAATTACACTTTTATTCATTTCAGAGATGTTAGAAGATATTGAACTCCCTCAGAAAAGAAAACAGAAGAGTGTTTGTTAAAGATCTCCATAATTCAACTTCAGTGAACCACTGGAGGCAAATATAAAATTAATGTAGTAGATTATATTGCATATATATGTATATTGTATATACATATATACACTACTGCATAATTATTAGTGCATGTTTTAAATTCTGAAATTAAGGCAAATATGTTTATTTAGGTTTTCTTTTAAAACAGGATACTTCCCATGACTTCTAAGTATTTTACCCAGAAAAGTGCTAAAGCACCCAAAGTGAGGCAATGTATAAAAGCTCCTCCATATTGCAGCTAATCTGCAACTAGTGAGGATTATTTTGGTTTGCAGGTAATGAGGTAGAGTTAGAAATCAAAATTTGAAAGAAACCAAACCATATTGCAAATATATGTCTGATTTTGATGTTTTAGTTTAAAAATAAGTTCTTAAAATTACAGATACAAATTTTGAGAACATTTTAAAATAATATTAATTCCACACATTTGGAAAAGACATTCACATTAATGAAAGAACTTGGTGTTCTTTTGCTCAGCATGTGGCAATAAAAATATTAATAATACTTGTCCATTTCACTTTTCATAGGCAGACCAAATGAAATTAGTGTAAAGGCCTACAAATCCTAAAAAAAACCCCCAAAATTCATTAAGTGTTCATAAAAGATCTGTTTTAATTTTAAAAAATATTTTGTTGTGTCCCCTTGGATACAGAAGTGCATTAAAAAATATTCACACTAATACCTTTGAGGTAATTAAGATTTAAACCCATCCTAATAAATTGTATGACAAATAAGCCAGGCAGTTTTAGTTTAATCCCTTATATAGTCTGACATGCAGTTTAAGGCACAATTAGACTCTTCAGAAAAGAAAGCTAAATATGGTCTACCATACAAAAAATTATGTCTA